CTGCTGGGCTGCGGGTCCCCTGCTGGTTCTCTGGCTCTTGCGCTTGCTGCAGCTGCTGGGTGCTCGCGAGGAGCCTCGGGAGCCGCGGTCACGTGCGTCGGGCCTGACGCGCGCCAGCGGAGCCCGACTTTCTGTTTCCTTTTAATTGCGCCCACTTCCGCAAAGAAGGGCTCCATCTCTGAGCCCGGGAGGTGGAAGCCGGGATGGCTGCCCCTGCCTGTGGGGGCTCCCTTTCTCTCCAGCCACTCCCATCGCCCTTTCTCTGTGGTCACATGCTCGCCGCCTGCTGTCACCTCCACCCGCCCTATTTCAAGACCACTGGTTAGAAAATAGCCGGCGTGAGCCTGGAGGGTTTTTGGTGTCTTTTCTGAAGGTGATTCTTGACATTCTGCTATCCCGAGTCCTCACCTATAACTAGACATCCCTCCCTACCCTCACTCTCAGCTCTTTGTGACATTTTCTAACCCCTGCAAGGGCTTTGGTTTTAGGCAAAAGAAATGGAGTCCTTGTTCATCTGAGATGTGGTCGTTAGTCTCGCTCATTTGCAGTCGCACCCGAGCTGCATTATGATTTCAGTAGTGCTGAAATCAGTGGTGTGGAGGGTGAGGTCATGGTGAAAATCCCCCCAAACCGGACACTGATGCAGATTCTTCCCCATGAGGAAGCAGATAAGCAAATAGAGCCCTGCAGCAGGCAAATTTTAGGTTTCCTGCCAGATTACAGAGGATATGACCAAGAAGAGACTTTGTTTTGTTTTTGCTTCTCTCCCAGCAGCAGACTGAAGCTAGGACACCTGAAAGGCCTACCTGGAGACAAGCGACAAGTGACAGCTGGGTCGGCAGAGTGACCGCTAGCAAGGACTCTGGAAGCTGCCTTTTGTTTCATTCTTAGTAAAGTATTTAGTTCCGAGTGGAAAAAACCAAAGGCTGTTCAGGTTTTGGCAGTGCAACCTAATGCTCCTTGGTTTGGGCTCCTGTAGCTCAAACTTGTATGATAGGGAGTTGGGGAAGAGGTCAGCACTCTGACAGTCTTATGAGCAAGTTTAAATTTAAAAATCAGTGCTAATCAGTTACTGTCTGGGGTTGGGTTCATGACTGAGGAGTCTCATGACTCAGTACATTGGCTGCAGTAAACAATGCCTGTAGTTGGATAATCTCCCGCTGTGCTGGCCAGGCCCACTCCCTTGACAATCCACAATCTCCAGAGTGGAGCAGGATCATCCCTAGTGTCTTTGGATAAGGAGGGTCAGGGTTGCGGTGCAGTGCTCTCAGGCCAAATGTATGGTAAAAGTCGAGCCTGGGTGGAAGATCTGTGTCCGGACTAGTGTTAGGGAGGCCTTCCTCTTGGACCGTGAAAGGTCTAGCCTCTACCCAGGACTGGAACTTAGCACAAGCCCCAAAGCCAGGTTCTGCATCGACTCCAGTTACTTACCAAACTGCAGCAAAGACAAAAGGCAAGCCTGTAAATTAGACTAGTTAACACCCGCCTGCCCCCCACCCCCGCGCCCCACCGCCACCAAGTGTGAGCAAAGTAATGGAAAACCAAGGATGCCTAGGAGGCAGGAAGGTATTCCTGCCCAGCCAGTTCATGCTGTGACAGGTAGAGCAGCAGAGAAGCTGTTCAGAGCCCTGGATGGAACTTTACTCTGGAAGCAGCCTGAAGAAGACTGAGCCCAGCTACTCATTCTGAAAAAGAGACCTCTTTGGTCCCTGCCTGGGATTTGTCTGTAGCTATCCTACTTCTGATGATCAAGACACTTTGTAAATTGTAAGCATAGAATTAAGAGTTTGGTGATTCCTCACGAAGTTAAACATGGACTTGTCATGTGATCCAGCAATTCCACTTTTCAGAGAACTGAAAACAGGCCTTTAAACAAAAGCTCATATGCCTATGATCATGGCAGTACTGTTCAGAATAGCCAAAAGCAACCAAATGCCCATCAGTGAATGAATGACATGTACACCCAATGGGATTATTCAATCATGAAAAACAGTGAAGTGGGCTGGGGGTGTAGCTAGCTCCGTGGTAGAATGCTCACCAACACCACACACACAAAAAGAATGAAGTACTGATACATAGTACAACACGAAGGAACTTTGAAAATATTATGCTGAGTTGGGCACAGTATAATGGACCTGTAATTCTTGTATTGAGGGAGGCAGAGGCAAGAGAAAAACTGAGCTCAATATAAAGCAATCCTGGGTTCAGTCCCTAATACTGGGGGGAAATAAGTTATGCTCAATGAGGATAAAAGGCCACATATATTATGGAAATGTTCAGAATAGGCAAACCCACAGAAACAGAAACCAGATTAGAGTTGCCAAGGGCTGGGATTGAGGGAAGAATGGAGGACGACTGCTTAATGGATACAAGATTATCGTTGATGAAAATGTTTTGGAACTAGATAGTGGTGACGGTTGCTGAACACTGAATGTAGCAGATGCCACTGAGGTGCACACTTTAAAATGGTCAAATGATGACTTTTATGACATATGAATGTTTCCTCAGTTAAAAGTTAGGGAAAAGATACTTTCCATAAACTGTCATCGGCATTTAACATTGATGTTCCCACACTGGGCAAAGTCTAATGAATAAAAAGTACCATTGCATGTATTCCAATATGCTCACAATTATTTGCACCAGAAGTAATCTTTGGTTACACTGAAATGGTATCAGTGCTGCTTTAACTTTCAGATGCATCATTTCATGAGTGAAAAGAAAAAAGCCTAAACTTTTTAAGGGAGTATGGAATCTGTCTACTGATTAGAACCGAATCTTCTGGGTGCTGCTTCCAACAGATCCAGATGTCAGTTCATTAGAAACATCTGTATTGTTGCTAGCCAGTTAATCCGTATGTAAAAGAGGGATTTAGATCCCCCCTGCAGCTGTGTTAAAATGATAGGAACAGTTGTTTAGTTGCAGTGTTCTTTCTGGAAACTCAAAATTTAATAGTAAACAGTTTTGCAAGATAAATAATGAAAGGTGCTACTACACATGAGATACATCTCCCAGTGACATCCGCTTGTCATTTTTGGGAAGGGACAAGCTCTTTCCCATAACACTGCCCCTCACAAAAGCTCCCATTTGAACTCTTGGCATGGAAAGGTAGGGTTCTACTTTATAGTCATAGTTTATTTTCAATTTTTAAAAATGGTATTACTGAGCTTATTTACCAATCTTTGTGCCAAATAACTTTGGGCTGTTTACAAAAATCAAGATAATCCGCATAGGACAAAAATGTGTCACCCTCAGACATATTCAAAGAATGTGCCAGAGGCTCCAGGAACAGTTCCAAAGAAGAGTTTTTAAAAATCTCTTTTTGAATGATGGGAAATATAATTTAAATAAATGTTTTGCTTGCCAAGGTAACTACTCACTACGCAGGATGGGACAACACCCATTTAGATGTGTTTATTTAAAGTTCACTCACATTACTTGATGGTTAAACCTTAGGTTAATTTTCTAATAATGATGACACATCCAGCGTTTTTGTTACACAACTCTCTTGTGTTTCACCATCCATATAAAATAGGTGGATTCACATTCTTTCTTCCCAATGAAGCAGCCATGGCCTTTTTCATACTTCCCTTTCCTTACTAGGAAAGGAAGGGAATTCCCAAGCTCTCCCATAGTACAAACTTCTTACATTTCTGTGATGTGTTAAATGCTTCAAAGCACTCTGACCTACTTTTTATCTCATTCACTGCTCACAATAGCCTGACTAGGAACACCCAGTATTAACCTCACTCTCCTTGGACAGAAGGAGAAGCTGATGGAAAGGAACGTGTCAAAAATTTTTTTTTCAAGGCCCCGCTCACTGTGGCCCTCCGCAGAGCCAGGACCAGAGACACCCTCGTTTGACTCTGATATGCCAAAATAGACCTGGTGCTCGGGATGCCTGGGATGTGTGAAGACAAAGGGGAGGCCAGAAATTAATTGCACTTAGCTTCCAGGCTCTGTGGAGTCCTGCAGTTTTGTTTGTCCATTGTTTGGTCTGTTTTCCCAGCCCCTTCCAGGCTGGCTGCCATCTTGAAGTTCCCCAGCTGTTCGGCTGATTCTAGGAAGATGTTCCGTAGTCTGTACTTTGAGCTTAGGCTCTGCTTGTAAAATGTTCCAGGTGGCCGATGAACAAATAAAAAAAAAGAGGAGCCGAGCTTAGGGCAGAGTTTTACCAGGTGTATAAAGCCCCACACTTTATTCACTTAACATGAGTTAGATCTAAAAGGGCAGCATTTTTGGGGTAATGAAATTTTTTGTTGCCCATTACCAGAATTAGCTTCTCATGTGGAAAGTTTTGTATGAAACCAGACATGTGGAATTGAATTGTGGGTGGCTTTGTTGGTTGTTGTTAATAGTGGAAAACATGACTTTAATTATTGGTTGTATTTTTCTCAGCCTCTGAAAAAGATCCACCGACTCCTGATGACCAGCTGAGATCTCAGCTTAACGGAAGGCAGGAACCTGTAGTATCTTGAAGACACATACCAGAACCCTATAAATGCTCACACCTCCTTGCCTGCTGCATCAGACCTGCTCCTGGGAAATCTGTTTGTGTAACACTGTGCACAAGGCTGAGTCTGTACACCTGATATTCTTTCTGAGACACTGAAAACAACCTGCTTACTCCGTCTCCTTCATTTTCCCTTCACACTTTTAAAGTCTGGGATACGTTTGTTTTCTTGCCTTTAAATGTCCCTTGCCAGGAAAAAGCAAGGATTCGTAATTAACCTAAACTTTGCTTCTCTGAGGAAGTTCAACCTGGCATTCTGAATTTATTCCTGCGGGTCAAAATACCCTGCTTCCAGTCTGGTGGCAGGAGTTTTCTTTCCCTCGAACGCTGGATGAACAGGTTGGGACCTGCTGCTCCCAGAAACCACACTCTTAGCTGGCTGGCTCTGGCTCTAGGTAGCATCACATGTCATGGCCTGCAGAGCTGGCCTTTGCCTCACTATAAAGTGCCAGGAAGCACCAGCTGGTTGAATCTATCATCGGACAGTCAAGGCTCACCCAGGGGTGCTGAGAAGTGAGCCAGTGGCCCATATGGCCTTCGTCAGACTATGGCAGACTGGCTCCCAGAGCAAATAATGTCATCAGCTTGTCTCTCTCCACATTCCTGTGTCAGCTGCTAAGGAGAAGAAAGGCGAGCTCATGGAAGGATTCAGGGAAAGGTTGTGCCTCCTGAGTCAGAATGACACCCTGCAGGGCTTAGAAGATTCTCCTGGCTATGCCAGACCCCAACGGGGAGATGAGAGGCAGAGAAATAAAAGCCAGGAGAAGTGGCTTGATGTGTGCCTGTAATTTTGTAATTAGGATTGCTTGAACTGTAATAGGCAAAGTTCCTTTAAGTAACGAGCTAATCCACTATTCTGTCTAAACCAGTATGACTCATATCAGATTGCTTGTCATTCATTTTGTTTTCCGGTAAAGGCTTGTAGTGCAGTGGACAGAATTTGGGTGAGAGCTCAGTTAGCGGATCCAAGCCTCATCTCTCCTATCTGTAGAATGGGAGTAGTTGTACGGGAAGATTGCTCACGGTGCACTCAGTGTCTGTCCATACCCAGGAGATTTAATTTAGACCATCTGAAGAAGAAACAGCATCTGTAAAAGCCTTCAGAGGCTCGGTCGTATTGTCACTGTCATAATGTTCTCCCTGTACCTTCGCTAAGCCCTCTAGACTGTGGTGTAAACATATTTCTTCTCTCTCCCCTGCTCAGCTTCACTTAAAGCTGCCACCATGACCAACAGGACCCGTTTCTGGTTGCCTGCTAACAATGAGAAAAACAACACGTACCTATGAAAGTAGTCCCCAAACTAAACTCTGAAGAAGGATGGGTTTTATTAGTAGTCATCAGTAGCCTCAGGAATCACCTTGTCAACCAGAGAGCTGAGGCTAGCTAATGGAAATGTTGGCACAGTACAGTAAGAGCAGGGGCTTTGTTTTCTAAATGCCGTAAGATTGGAGTATCTCCATAGGGGTTAGCTAAGACGGTGGAGCTGGTGGAGTTGGTGTTACCGCGCTACTTTCTGTGGTGGTGCTTACTTACCCAGCTGATGAACTGGGATCTGTCCTCAAGGTCATGGTACTGAGGGGATGGCTGATGGCATCCATGTTAGTACTTCAGCCCATGCCTGCGTGCTTGGTGTGGGCCTACCCCCAACAGCCACCTCGGACAGCCCTGTGGCCTGTGGGTGGACCCATCAAGGATACAAGAGGTCTTCAGAACAGGCCCACATGCAGGGAAGTGGCTTGGCCTGCTTGAATAAGGAACTCTGGGATCCTGGTACCTGCAGGTCAGTGTGAGAGGAAGCTCAGGTCCTTGGGGGTCCCTTGGCCTTGCTCCATTTGTAGGGTGAGCATTGGAGAGGGCCAACTGAATCCCCTGAAGCCCTGCCAGGCCGGGGCCTCTCCTGCCCAGTGAAGGGTGGGACCAGCTGGGAAGATGCCGTAAGATAACATCCTTCACAGGGGCCGAGCCAGACCTCAAAGACTCCCAAGTTCTCAGGCTCTTGAGATGGATCCCAACAGGGACCCTTACGAATGAGTGTTCAGCTGAACGTCATTCACAAGCCAGTCCTTGCTCGTGGACAGCTTGTGCCTAGCCTGTACACCATAGGAGTCTATGGAGGCCTAGTAGTTTCTGCCTTTACCAAGACCACCCCAAGCTGAAAGCCTCTGAAAAGAGTACTTTATGAAAAACCAGCTGCATAATGTACAGTATTCTGGACTAATTCTTGGTTCCCAGTCACCTTTCAATAGCAGGTACTCAGTGGAAACTCACTTCTGTCAGGTGTGAGCCAGGGTCCAAAGGAACACAATCAGAAGAGACAGACAGGAGCACCAAATCCCAGCTCTGCCACCTGTGTATCTGTGGATACCCTTTTTCAACCACTTACACTCTCTGAGCTTCATTTTCTTTACCCAAAAATATGGAAGTAATGATGCCCCAAAATGGGTTGATGGGAAGATTAAGTGTGATAACCTGAAAAGCACACAGCAAAGTGCTTGGCCCAAAGTGATGTCAAGAAATGGTGTTCTTTGCTGCTAGGCATTAAAGATTAAAATTATTAAAATGACGACATGGCACACAACTGAAATACCAGTGAATTGGGAGGCTGAGGCAGGAGGATTGGGTTGGAGGACAGCCTGGGCAACTTAGGGAGAGTATGTCTAAACAAAGAAAAATTAAAATGATTTTAAGAAGCCAATGGAAATTAAAAACCCACAATGTATTTTACATTTTCAGAAATGTCAACAGATACAGTACTTTTTATCAGAAATTCTTAACCTGTACTTATATTCCTTAGAACATAGTCAAAGCAATACAACTATAATTGCAGCTACTTGCAGGCTGAGGCAGGAGAATCACAAGGCCAGCCCTGGCAACTTTGCGAGACTATGTCTCAAAATAAAAAGGGCTGGGGATGTAGCTCAGTGAAAGAACACTTGTATAGCATGCACGAGGCCCTGGGTTCCATCCTCAGTGCCACACACATGCACACATACAAACAATTTACAGTTGAAAAAGTAGATTTGCAAAACCAAATTGTTCCAAATGTACTTAAACATTTTCTAGTAACTGAGTTGAATATCAGTCTTCAAATTAAAATGGATAACAAATAAAATACAAGATTCAACTTCTCAGTGACATTGGCCATGTTTGACGCATTCAATGTTTCCTTGGAGCCTGTGGCCATTTCTACAAAATGGGCAGATCCATGGGAAGTGGCCAGGACCCTCCAGTGATTGGGCAGAGCCTTGGCTTTCTAGGCAGGTAGAGCAACCTGAGAGCCAGCCTGTGCCTGAGACAACTAGAGTTTGACAGTTCCTGAATCTGAGAAGGACTGAGGTACGACCGTAGGTGAGGCTGCAGGGGCCAAATGGAATCAGGTCGGGAAGAATTTGGGCACCACGTTAGGATGTGGAGATTTTACTCTGTTGCTAATATTGAGATATTTTTGGAGCAGGGATTGGGCCACAGTGCACTGTTTTAGGGGGTTTCCTCTGGCACCAGTGTCTGTGAGGACCCAGAGAGGAGGGACACCGGCCTGAGAGAACAGACACAGTGGCTATTGTGACACAGGTGTTCAGAGAGCACCTGACTGGTGTGAGAGCAAACTGTGGAGACTTCAGAGAGCCAGCCCCAGAGGACTTAGCAACCAGCCAGGCTCCTTCAGAGAGGATGGCAGGCAGAGGGGGCCCCTAGGGCTGTGTGCCTGGGAGGATACTAAGCTGTTTAAAACAGCTGAACTCAGGCCCTGGAGTCTGAAAATTTTTTCCCCCTCTAAACAAAGGTGTAATTTATAACTCTAGCCCAACCCTCTGAATCACAAGGCTAACCAAGGACTTTGTCCCAGTGTGAGATTGTGAAGGACACTCCTTAGTTCAGCAGAGCTCTTTCAGACCCTGAGTCTGGGCTGGAGCCGAATTAAGGGACTTCATGGTCACAAGTTAAGGGAAGGGCTAGGTGGGAAGCCCTCCACTGCCCAGCTAGCTTTTCCTTACTCCTGACTTCTTCCCTGGGGAAAGCGTTCCTTGCCTGGTGAATTCTGGCTCTGCTGTGACTGGGAGGAAGGCTCTGCTCCCTCCTCCTTGGCCTCTCTCCTTCTCCCTGCCCCAGGCCTCTGAGATCTCATCTCTTTGTGCACTGAGTGTCCCAGGGACTCTGCAGGCACAGCTGGGGACTGACCTCTGACGGTGCTTTCTCCAGTAAGCCCATTGCAGCCTGCAATGCAGGAGGAGGAAGTGCTCACACTGGGCAAGGTGTTGGTAGTATCGGGGAAAGGGGTTAAGGACAACGCCCAGTGAGTGCCCCATCCAGCTACTACAAAAGGCTGTGTGCCGTGTTGCAGGCAGGTACATCTGCCCAAGGCCAAAACCTCTCAGTCAGTCGGGGTGGGCATTTTTAAGACGACAAAAATAAGGGGAATCTGGGGCTGGGTAACAACACGAGGTGAACACAAGGGGGCCTGGAATATAATGGAATAGTGTGATGAGGTGGGTGGTGTCTATTGAGCGCTTGCTGGGTACTGCCCAAGAGCCTCTCAGCTATTCACCTTCTCCCTGTTTCCCAGACACAGAAACTGAAGCTTTGAGCAGTAAAATCTTTTTGTTTTTTGTTTTTTTGAGACAGGGTCTCACTATGTAGTTGAGACTGACCTGGAACTCACTATGTAGCCCAGGCTGCTCTCGAACTCACAGCGATCCTCCTGCCTCAGCCTCTTAAATGCTGGGATTACAGGCATGCGGCACCACGCCTGGCTTTGAGCAGTAAAATCTTATGTGTCCAAGGTCATCCTCTCAAGGGACAGAGCTGATTCAAACCCATAAATGCCTGGCTCCTGCCACCTTCTTCAGCAGCACTGATCTGCAAACCAAGAGTCCTTTGGGGGCCACTTAACGAAGCCACACTATCCTGCAAAGGTTAGGTTTTATTGTTACTTTGATGAATGAGCCAAAGTCATGTTTGGGGTATGACATATGCCCTCCTGCTAATCAGAGTGAACGAGGATATTTTTTTAAAAATTTGAAGAGCTAGGGTCAAACCCAAGGATTTGACTCTGGGCCTTGCATTTGCTCGGCCAGTGCTCTACCCGTGAATGTGTCACTCTCAGCTCTGAACTAGATGAACCGGAACAGGTAATTCTCCATGCAGGATGTGGAGAGGATACTCAAGCCACCACCTCAGCTCTGCCTGGCTGCAGTGTGGGGTCCTCAGTGTGAGGTCTGCATTGTGCAGGGCGGCCTCCACCCCCGTGCGTCCTCCACCCCCATGCGTCCATGTAGCTCTGAGCTGGGTGGGTCGCGGCAGGCGCTCCTCCCAGCACTGGCTGGGCACTGGGCCCAGACTTGGGCTTTTCTGGGTCAGGCGGTTCTATCTTCAGCCTGGCCAGAGGATACAGTTTGTGTAAACTGCAGACATGGAAGGCACACTGTGTAAACACAGACTATCTCCTGCTCCAACGGTTTCCTCTAGGGAGGCTCCTCCAACTGGGAGGCTGGATTCCAACTTCTTATCAACTTGAGCTTCCTACTCTGATATAAGGAAGCTATTAAAGTCCGTTTCCTGGTATTGCCTTGACCCCACCAGGACATGCTCCTGTGGAAGCACATGTTCCTTTGAGGAGAATTTCTTTCACACTCCCTAAATCCGCTACCCGGTCTTGAATCCCCCCACATTAAACAAGCCTGCAGGAATTTTGAACATGCACTTAGCCAAAGCCTATGCCTTTA